ACTTCATGAGAGTTCTGTGTGGGTACATAGAACGTACGAATGTTAAAATTATGTCCCAGTTTCCCTAACAAGTTCCCATAGTTTCCAGCCCAATATGAGAAACCCATAGCTTTTACTGTCTTCTCAGAGAACATGTTCTAAGATATTTGATACGAACCCTAATAGCAGCTAAAACAAAGCTAGAGGAGACAAGAAACCCTAAAAGTTTTGGCTTCGTTTATTTGTAGGGAGAGACGCCCACGTTGGTAGGCATAAAGAACCCATCCTTCACCCGCGCCTCCTCTCCATCCTACATAATACACCAAATCCAAAATGAAGGAAAATATAAGGATTAAAAGTGATAAATATAAATACGAGTATTTAGGGTTGGAAATACCTGTTGGCGTACATTAGATTTCCTCATGGATTGATCAGGCATAAGACCGAAATGTATGTGTGGGAAGTGGGCCCACTAGAACATAAAAGAAATTAAAAATGAAAATTAGTATATGAACATGAACATAATCACTAAACTTAACTAATGAGATGACGTGAGACAAGTGTGTTTTACATCGAAAATTAGCACATAATGGTGAACATGACTAAACCCTAGTTTTTCGTTTTTGTTTTGTTAGGCAAAGATTGTTTGATCTTACATTATTGGCAGCTGCACTAAAGGATCTCTGTGACTTATATCAGGATTCTCAGCTTTGATACGTTGGATTTCGTCTCTGCAGTTTTGGATTAAAAACACACCAACACAGCTTTGTAAAAAAAAGTAACTCGGACTAGGGATTTTAAGAAGCTAATCACTTACTTGATGAAGCGATTGTAGGCAGACGGTACTCTATGTCTCTAGTCCGTAGCTGAAAAAAACACAGACAAAATCCATCTCAAAGAAACGAAGATCCGGCTAAATTTCTCAAACAAGTGCGTTTAACGATAGCGTGGTAAAATGTTAAGAATCTCACGTCTGTTGACCACCGGAGGTTTGGTCATCTCTTCAACTGCCCCTCGAATAGGAATAGCTAAAACGCTTGGCTCAGGGTGATTGATCATCACCGTGTTCGGTGATGCACTACTTCGGATCTCCTCCTGCGATGAATTGAAGTAGTGAAAGAGGGGGGGGGGAACCCCTAGTTTCTTCGGAAAACAAAACTATTGAATATAAATATAAATGCTCGTACAAGGAAATTCTGTGGGGTAAATAAAGAATGGGCAAGGTGAAGCTGATTAGCTGCCGGAACAAGCAAGCCACGCATGTTGACAGACAAAAGATTGGTGCAATGGCCGCATCGAACCGTAACGGTATTCAACAAGCTACTGCATGGAACACTCACCTGTGATGATACAAAGAGAATCAGATCGTAATAGTAAAACAATAAAAGCTCCCCAAAGGGTAAAAAAAGAAAAGGGTTTACAGCGAGAAAGGTGTCGCAGAAATTGCAATGGACGTAACACAGCTGGTCCGGTGAAAAAGCAACTGATGAAGACGACATCTTCCGTTGATAATATTTTTACGAGTTTTTTTGATTTGATAGGTCTTCTAAGTTGTATAACTTGTTGATATGATCCTCTTGGTTGATCACTTCAAGTTGCAGAAAAGAGAAATTACTGATTATATATTACGAAACGGAACCCAGCACAACTTGTGGATGTATGATAAACATGACCCTGTAAAATCAAAAACCAAAATTTATGGTTGGCTTTTCCGATGTTAAATGAAATAGAAAGAAGAGAGGCTGGGCAGAGGTGAGAAAGGGACGTTTGCATGAGATGTTGTTGACTTAATTTATCACCTGTTGTTTTCATACTTAAGGTGTGTGAGAAAGCTTAAGCGTTTCCTTGGTTGTCTAAAATTCCAAGGTGCCATAATTGGTGAATTAATCCTATCACTAGTCCCTATACTATGCGTATGTTGTGGATTTACCCCCATACTCTAATTAACTTGGTCGATTTTAGTCCCTCTATTGTTAGAATTTTTCAATTTTAGTCTTGTCTCAAATAATCCAGGGGCAAAATGACTAAATTAGAAGGATTTAAAATGACTAAGTTGGAGGAAAAGAATTAAATCTATAACTTAAGCATATTATAAGAACTAATAACATAATTTAGTTCAATAGATTTAAATGTTACCTTTTGAGTTAGGATCAAAATTTTAAATTTTAAAACGTTTAGATACAAAAAATGACCAAATTAAAGTATATGGATTAACTTTCACACAGCATAGGGAATAGAATGGAAAAAAATATAGGATAAGGACTAAATTCAAAATTTTCACATAGTACGGGTACAGTTAAAAGAATCGCACCTCCAGAATATCAGGTCTATGTAACTCGAAATCTTTAGATAATATTTAGCCAGGAAACTATGCTTTGTACATTTAAACTTTAGCTTTTATATATTTAACCTGATCTGCCATTGAACCTCCAGCGCAAGCTAGCCACCTCACTAGACAGCCGGCTTCATCTGTCTTTTCAACAGTGCAGTCCTCCAAAAAAGTACTATGCATCGACATTTGGCTTTATCTGAATCTACCGGCCATCAACAAAAGGATCAACAAAAATCTTTGAGAAACAGCCGAAAAAAGAAAAACCATGAATTTCAACGACAGAGAAAAGCCAAGGAAGATGCTGAACCTCTCACTTAATATTTTCACTATATATATATATATATATATATGTGTGTGTATGTATGTATTTGGTCATTCTTCATTCCTTTGATCATATATATGATCAAGTGAGAATTGGCGGTTTAGAGAACCTCTTTGCATGGGAGAAGTAGACTGGTAATTTACTTGATATTACCCTATTATTTAGAATGTTATGAAACTTTTTATTATGATACGATCAGCAATTAGAATCCATTTCTCTTAACTTTTTGTTTATATTTGATTTGGAATCCGAGATTAACTCATTTGCTGTTGCGACTTGTTGACCTTACCCTTAAAAAAAAACCCTTTCATATACAAACAGTTCCAGTCCAGTCGGTAGGTAAACCAGCTAAGGGAGCTGATAAATGCTAGTACCTAGAGAGAAACGTTTTGAGATATATTTTTAATGGAGTATTTGTTTATGGCAAAAGTGGTTAAATAATATAATGGGAAAAAAATTACTGCAGTTGAATAATTATTTGTTTAAATAGTATTATTGTTACAATGATTATCATAGGTCTCCAGGAGCATACGACGAACTCCATAGGTCTCTAGAATCACACGACGACATGTGGAGCTGCAACATTGAGGGAAGAGAGAAGAGTTGCTTTAACAGAGGAGGTTTTATCGCAAAAAACACTAGGTGACCAATGAGGTTACTATAGCAAATAATCAAGTTTAAGAAATAATTTGGTTAGAGTCCTATATGAAGATTTTTTTTTCTAAACTCCCTACATGGGCGAGGAATTAGAGTAAATTTTACGGTTCCACTAAATTTTATTAAAATTTATCATTTTAACGTGATAGTTTTATTAACGTAAATGATGAAATAAATAATAATACTTTTTTTATTAAAAATATAATATTTGCATTTATTTTTTTGACGTCGTTAAAGTTTATCTTTTTTTACGTTTTTTTTGCCACCCTAATAATCATGAAGCGAATATCAAACTCAAACTTATCATTAAGACATTAACCATTGAGCCAAATCAAACAAAAAGTAGTTGGTTACAAGTAAAAAGCTTTTGATTCGCTAAAAACAAAAAGAGGAAAAGAAAAAGCATTTGCAATATCGATTTGACCACACGCATCTTTCTCTCTCCTACAATATTTTACAAAGATACGTAGTTGTCAGGGACAACAAAAGACAGAGATCTTTTTAAATCGAATTTACTAAATCTTTTTGTCTTTTTCATTGGCAATTGCACGGCATAGATGGACTTCGTCTATTGTTGGCTATTTTACTACGCCTCTACCTAGTTCACCGCATCTGCCGTATCATCTGTGGAGCCGGGTTCTACTTTGCTGAAAAAGATGGCTGTCAGTGTCGTCTCTCTTTTAACATTTTTGAAAACCATCACCATTCCATCTAATCCCCCATATGTGCAAAAATGGTTTCCACTCCCTCACAATTAGTTACAAATGACAGTGGGTTCTTTATGGATACGCCAGGGGCAACTTTGAATGTCCGTCTTTGGTAAGCTTAAGGCGATTCACTGGCCTTTCTGTTACCAACTAATCAGCTTTTTCATCTTTATTTTTCCATCTTAGACGGTGTGATGTGATTTTCAGTCTACTTAGAATGTAACAAAAGTTCAAATAAGTCCGGTAGTTAAGCTCTACCTTTGAGTCTTTGTCCCCAAAAGATTAGAACCCAAATCATTCGTCTTCCAGATTTTACATTCCAACAATTTTCCTTCCGTAAAACAGTGTTGTTCTGACTCTTTAGCCATTCGAACGGATGCAACGACAAGCGCCAACCACGTTACTATGTCGTTAACGATTTTCAAATTTCAATATTATAATTGAGTGGCATAAACAATAAAACACTAAAGTTCATCAATGTCCGGTGTAGTTTATCTTTATTTTTAGTATCTGATATCTCCTTGGGAACCATGTATTCAGAAATAAATGGACATACCTATATAGAGTAGAGACTGGAGGGTTAAATATATGTATATCGGTGGCGCCTGGAAAAGCCTGTTGGGGGTAGAGCATAGAAGTCCAATGAAGATAGGTAATAATTTATGGCTTCTTTCGGCATCTCAGGGCCCAGCCTGCTGCCTGGAGCACAGTACCTGGTGCCCCCATAGCCTGAACCATTTAATTCCACTTCCAAGTACGAAGTAGTATCTACTGCAACAGAAGCCTCAAACCACAGCTGGTATAGCACTAGCCACCCTAGGATTCAGATTATACTGATCAAGGCCATCTACCAGATCAGCTATCTTCGTCTCATAATGGTACAATTCAAGGCTCAAATGTAAAGATATCACTTGATGAATCTCATATGCAAATAATGAACTTTTACTCCTGCAAACTAGACCAAACCCTATGTGAAATTGATCAAACATTGAACTGCCCATTGACTACATCAAATGCAAATGACTTGCAGAAGGAAGAAAATTGTGTCTGTCTGATGGTACCAAAAAGAAGGCACCTCAAGCTTAATAGAGAATGTGATCTGTTCTAACAATTATAAAGCAAAATTCTCTTACCGGAACACAACCAGTTTCAGCATTCACATTTTAACAACTCATATTTCTAGTTACTTCGAGAGCCAATAGATAATGAGGAACAATGTACAGGCAGCGATAACTGCTGACAGAATAAGAGTCTCTCTGGAACGCTTCCTTCTTATGGAACCTAGAAAATAAATGAGTTTTAATTAGTATAGAAATTATTACTATATGCAATAATGCATCTGTAATAAAGATACACGAAGTACCAAGCAAGCCACGGATAACAGGGAACTTGTCACTTAAAACTTTTACTTTCCCTTGAACGTCTCCAAACAAAGCTCTTTGAGAGCCCAACACAGCCCTTGTAGTATGAACTTGATTAATCACATCATCTATCTATAGGAAACATAAATCCCGGTAAGGAAAAGGAACGCTTCGATAAATAGGTAAAAGGGAAAACCACCCGGAATAAATAAAATACAAGTTTTTCTTGTTACATGGCACTAAAGCTAGCAACAAAAATATTTTGACACCAACCGAAAGCACCACATCAATCTTATCAAGCTAAAAATGAAAGTTAAGCATTTCTAGGATTCTTGAAAAAATGAAAAGATACATTGATCCAAGAAGGATACTTGTTTGTGTCTGTGCAAGCATGCAAATGTTTTTGTATGCATCAGACAAAGAGGCTACATAAAATTCCTATTAGCATATCTTTCTACAATCAGTTTTGGACCTCAATTGAGTTCCCCTTCCTGCTACCAACCCAACTACTAATGTGTCCTTATAGGGTGGATAATTAGAACTCAGTCGCACACTATGTTCACTTGAGCTTAAAATACAGATAATTCAGAACCCATGGTTTCTGCGGCTAATCATAGCAGGTAACAGCACCAAGAAGAATCAAAATTCCCAAGTTTATTGCATAGCGTTTCAAGTTAAAGTAGTTCCTTCTATTGCATAGCGTTTCAAGTTAAGATAGTTCCTTATATTGCAAGAAACAAATGATGAATACATTTGGATTTATACGTAATAGTCAAGAGATAAAAGACGGAAAGCCATCATCTAAATGGAGGTATACTCGTTATATGCAAAACTTTAGGAAATAGGATTGGTGATTTGGGGTTACTTTTATTTCTACGGCTTCATTCTATATTTATGTATTTCATGCTTTATCTAGTTTTTGGAAATTGAGATTTGGAATCAAAAATCTAAAATAAGAGGCACTTGAGAGTTTTTGTTTTTTGATCCATCAGGATTCAGGCTTGAGAGTTGAGACGAGAGATTTTGGCATTGATAAGGTTTTACCTTCTTACAAATAAATTCATTCCTTTAGTCTGTTTAGTGTATGTGTATAACAAATATTTCAGCATCATCTCAAAGCCGTTAAGTAATTTCAGATTAATGACAAGACACAAAAGAAGTAGATTCTTAAAACAAATAATGCACCAAGATATGCACAGAATAAAAAATAATTAAATCTTACATGAGCTATGCTCCCGTGGATTGCAGCTCGCTCCCTGAGCAATTGCATTCTCGGTGACATGCTCCCAGATGCCTTCATGAAGGCTAATATAGTAAACTTTGGGAAACAGTAGTACGGAAAATTAGAACAACAAATTTAAGAATATGACTACCTTAGACTCGTTGATATCATCCCTTACTGAACTCAGAAGTTCTGCATGTTCCTTCATTGAGTTTATATTTCCCTTGATTCTTCTGAATTCCTTAAAACAAAAATCTATACCATTAATTCAAACGTGAGGATTACTAATCAACTAGTCCAAATAACAAATGTCCAAACGAAGCACTAACTAGGTTATTTCATAGAAAACGAGTACATTAATCAATAGTGCAAGGAATCAGAGTGGTAAATGAAGTAACTGAACAAACCAAAGGATTTGGTTATGTAGCAGCATAAATGTGTGAGTTGGGAACCCTTTACTCTTTAGAAATTTGGAGTGAATGAATACATTTTGGGGGCTTGGTTTGAAATGTGCAAGGTAACAGCAATACTGTAACGGGTTAATTCCAAGTAAAATGGGTACATTTACTTATGGTGCAATGAACCAGAGTTGCAAATAAAGCAATTTAAGAATCCATGGATTTAGGCAATACGACACAAACATAAGTGAGGGAGGAATCCTTTTCCCTTTTTCTTTTCCTAAGAAAGAATTTAGTGCTTAGTTCAATATGTAACAGATGATATAGGTATTGCTCTACTCTTATTCCAATTCTTTCATGGTTCAATGAAAAGAAGAAATAAGGTAATTTCTAACACAAAAATACTAAAAACACATGTTATCCCTGCATCAAGTTCTCTTGTAAATTAAAGGATTCCCATTTGTCCATGGAGAATTTTTTTTCTCCAAGTACACATACAGAAAACATAGTGATAACCAAGAGAAGAGATTATATCAGAGTTTGAGCTCTGTAGCTCCTAGAAGAGTATCAAATTATTAGAATGAAGCTAAAAAAAAGCATGACCAAAAATATTTTGACAATTTGGTCATCTTTTCTTCTTTCTTGACCAATGAAAGCTTGACCTCAGTACTGGATAACACAAACAAAAGGCAAAAACATAAAGAATACTATATCCATACTCATGTTTTGCTATAAACAAAAGAAATTCATTTTTTAAGTATTTGCACCAAGTACTACTTCTAGTTTATTCTGAATTTCTTCTCCAATTGAAGTACTTGCCAGGCTAGTAACAATCAAGGACCATGAACTCTTACATAAGTAATTTGAAATAAAAAAACTTATGAATTACATTTCACACCAAATGAAGGTACAAATACCCTCTTAAGGATTCTCAAAACCAACCAACCAAATTTGATAGGAGCATGCCAGAGATTGTCTCCCAGAAGAAGCTTCATGGTGAAATGTTTTAGTAAGATGATCACTTCAAACTTTAAACCCGTTGCCAATAAACATGTTAGTAACAAATGCAGAGAAGCCCAAGAAGAAATATGACTGCCAAAATACACTCACAGTTTACTTATTAGCAGTAATGTTGGACTAGATATCACGAAATATTCATATTCCTTTAGGGGTTTTAATACCTGATAACTAAACATGAAAATCTGACTTATGAAAACAAGTGTATAAAGCAGAGTCAACGGATTAAACCTGAGTAAATTCATGTAGTATGTCTCTATGCCTTGCAAGTTTCTGGGTTACTGAAGTAGTTGGTGCAGAAGATGCAGCACATCTACTCATAGCATCATTTATGTCCAGCAGTTTCTCAAGCAACGATTGAATTTCAATTTCCATAGACTTCCATGATATGTTTGACCCGACTGGTGACGACCCGGTATCTACATAACCTAAACGTAAGTAACTACCATCACAAAGAAAAAAGGACCAGATTTCTTAGGCTTTGGATTCATCAATAGAAAAAAAATATCATTAAGCAAATCTTATCATTCACTTTTAGAGTATGCTCAGTTCTTCAACAGATTTGTTCCTAATTTCAATAACTTACCTAAAATTCAAAAGGCAAAGCACATTCCAGAAAATAACAATCGAATAAGGAGGAAAGGAGCAAACCACCTGGGGTGAACCTAGCACCGAGCTTAGCATATGAAGAGAGTTTGACATCGAGATCGCCTTCGATCTTTCGAGCTTCTTTCCTCAGTTCCTCCCAACCCGATTCTTGCAGGTCCAGGTTCGGATCCGTCATTTGGATCTCGGTTGTTCGATTTCCCTTCTGCTCAATTTCCGAGTTGAGTTCTTGTGCGGAGATTGGCTCACCTATTACAGTTAATAACCTTCAATCAATTGGAGATATGAAAATGCTGATAGGTGTTTGAGGTCGGTGAGTTCGTATATTCTCATCTATTCTCAGCTATGCCTTATCATTTCGATCTCTTACTTCGTTTTTCGGTTTTCATTCAATCAAATTCAGCTTCGGCCTCGTTGAGAGAAGGGGGGGGGGGGGATCTTCTACGGGTACAGGAAATAAAATTATTATTTGATATCCGGTCACTAAAAATTGAATAAAATTATATATATATTTTTTAAATTTTATAAAATTATATTTAAACAATATTAAATGTCTTGTCATTTATATTTTAGAATTTAAATATAACCAAAAATATATTTGGTAAATTTAAAAATAGTTTATAAAATTATTTTGGTAATCTATACGTATAATCATTAAACTAGGGGAACTATTTCATTTTGACCAAATAATTATAAATTTTATCAATTTAGTCCCTGAACTATTAAAATGATAAGCTTAAACTAAAAAGTACCTAAGCTGTACTATTTTTTTAAGCCCCTAAACTATTTTTTTGATCAAAATAAGTATCTAAATTATCTCTTTTTTGTTTTAAGCCCTAAACTATTTTTTGATCAAAACTAGTACCGGGTTTTAGTGACATGCTAACAACTTATTGGTCAAAAAAATAATTTTCTAACTAAAAATAATATGACCTAAAATGATTAAATATAATAATTTAAGGATTTTATTTGACCAAAAAATATTTTAGAGGCTTAAAGGAAAAATAATATACATATTTTCACTTTAAGCCAAAATGATATCAGTCAAGCCAATTTATTTTTACTTTAAGCCAAATGAAATCAATCAAGCTACTTATCATTAATTGTTAATGAAAATATTGACGTGACAGTTAAAAAATTTATATAATTATATATTTATTTTATTATTTTCACATTCTAATAATTTAATCTTAATGTTAATTTAATAAAATTAATCATCTAATGAAATGATAACACATGTTACCATTCGATCTTAGAAAACACAATAAAACAAGAATGGATGGAGAGAAAGAATTCAAACTTGGTTATCTGGAAAAGTTTCAACACACCTTAATCATTGAATCACATTCGATACTTAATATTTTGTAAATACAATATGTATTTAGTATCTAAATTATTATATTTATTCCATTTTGATACATAAATTTTTTTTTTTCCAAAAATATATTTAATATATAATTTAGATTTCATTTTAATACCCGCCATTAAAGTTTTGACGGTGATGCTAACGAGCACATATGGTAATGTCATGCCATCATTGAAAAAAAGTAAAAAAAAAAAAACAACAATTTTTAACGGTGGGTAGGAATGACAAAAAAACCGAACCCATCGGGAAAAATCGAAAACCGAATTAAACGGGTCGGGTTCGGGGATGATAAACGGGGACTGGGACGGGATGGGAAAACCCGAATTTTTTAAACGGGATGGGGACGAGTTTGTAATCCCGCCTGATTACCCGAATATCCGACCATATACCCGACCCGATAAATATTAAATAATTATTTTATATATAATATTAATAAATTTAATTTAAATTGAAAAATATATATAAAGGAGATTAGGATTTGGGAGAACACATCTTTACATACTCGTCACTTTCCCTGCGGCAGCAACTTGTTTACGTTTGTCACGCCTAGTTTTTTAATTATATTTTTGGCGTCCTATAAATACTCTTGTGATCAATGTGTTTGGCGTTTCAAGTAAGTTTAGATCCGATAATGACATTATTTTTTAAATAACTCGTGTCATCGTGTGAAATTTAAACGGTAACGGGGATCCCTTGTTATCCTGCGGTGAAAATTACTCGTTTAAATAACTGTTTATGCTAAACGGGGATACCCGTTTCCCCGCGGTTTTTTAAGCGGGGACGTGTACGGATTTTTTAAACGGGGACGGGGACCAATCCCCGGCCCAAAACCGTCCCGTTGCCATCCCTAACGGTGGGTACCAAATTGAAACCTAAAGTAAACATTAGGCATGATTTTTTAAATAATAAAGTTTTGTTATCAAAATAGAACAAAAGTAATAGTTTAGGTACTAAATATATAGTTTACACTTAATTTTAGGGTAAAGTATATAAATGGTCACTGAACTTTTCAGATACTTGCATTTAAGTCCCTTAACTTTTAAAACTTGCAATACAGTCACCAAACATTTAGTTCGTTTGAAATATGGTCCGACGTAACGGCCGTTTCACTGCCGTTAGGGTAAATTATATAAATGGTCATTGAACTTTTTAGGCGCTTGCATTTAGATCCCCCAACTTTTAAAACTTGCAACACATTCATCAATTACATTCTAAAACCAAAATCCAAAATGCTTCAATTACATTATAAACCTCAAATTCCAAAATACTTCAATTACACGCCCAACCCTAAATTTATAATCCATTCTCAAAATATGCCATAACAAACTGAACTTGAAGCAGTAACCCTAAACCCTCAAAACATAATTATTTAAAAAAAATAACCAACTATAAGTGAACAATAAGTGATTATGTTGGGTTTAGGTTTAGGGTTATGTTGGACATAAATATTCAATTCAATTTATAAAATAGTTGACTCAAATTTTCGATTTGAGTTTATAAAATTTAAATCAAGTCGAATTGAAATGAATTTTTAAGTTTTTTTTAAATTTAATTATAAATATTTATCATATTATAATATTATTTGATTCTAATTCAATTCAGTTTATAAAATATTTTATTAGAAAAAATTTCGATTTGAGTTTATAAAATTTGAATAAAGTCAAATTGAATTGAATTTTCGAGTTTATGTTTAAATTTAATTATAAATATTTATAATACTATAATATTATTTGATTCTAATTTAAATAGTTTTTAACCATATAAAATACATATTTTTCTTCATATTTTTCCATATGTGATATACATATATCATACAGAGTCAATGGACTTTATTCAAACTTAAAAATTAATCCACTAATTACTAAAAATTTTGAGATATTCGAGTTGTATTTTACAACACGATTATAACTTGAAAATTTTAAGTTGAGTTTATGAAACTACAACTCAAAATCAATTTGTATCAATTTTTTTGAATCAATTTTTTTGAATCAATTCAAGTCGAAAAATAATCTCTTCGAATCGAATTGAGTATTGTTCACTTATAGTTGGTTAAATCTAACTTTTAAATCCTAAACCCAACATAATCACTTATTGTTATGGACCCAAAATGAACTAAATGTTATTGATTATGTTGGTTAATTGGTGGGAAAATTTAGCATTTAGGGTTATATTTTAAGGTTTAGGGTTGTTTCTTCAAGTTCAATTTATTAAGGCAAATTTTGATAATGGATTATGAATTTGGGGTTGGGCATGTATTAAAGTATTTTTGGAATTTGAGATTTAGAATGTAATTGAAGTATTTTGGAATTTAGGGTTTAGAATGTAATTGATGTCTTTGTTGCAAGTTTTAAAAGTTGAGGGACCTAAATGCTAGCGCCTAAAAAGTTCAATGACCATTTATATAATTTACCCTAACGACAGTGAAACGGCCGTTACGTCAGGATCATATTACAAACGAACTAAATGTTTGGTGACTGTACTGTAAGTTTTAAAAGTTCGGAGGACCTAAATGCAAGCATATGAAAAGTTCAATGATCATTTATATACTTTACCCTTAATTTTATCACACGTGCCCATTGACTACCTTTCCAAATTCCCTTTATTTTGTTTTCATTGCTTCACTTCCTATTTATAAAACAAGCTAAATCTTTCTGTAAGCTAAATCTTGAATAATATCTTTCTTCGGTACCATGTATCATCTTCTCTGTCATTATGTAAATGAGATACTTGTAATCTAAAAAGCAAGTAATAGTTATTTAATATGAAATGTAAACATTGATGAGCAAACACCATTTTTGATGTGAATAACAACATTTTCCTTGCATCTGCTCTTTCAGCAATCTAAGGGCACAACAAAAGCATAGAAACAGATGATGCTCAAATCATGGGGCTGTCTCGCTGCATACCTGCAGGCAATTCAAAACCCAGAAGAACAGTTGAAGCACACAAAGACAAACGAACTTTGTCAAGAAACAGTGAGCTCCGCTGTCGAGACACAATTACTGCGATCGTGTAACTACAGCAATAACAACAAATCACGAAGACAAACCGCATGCTATATTAGTACGTATGCAGATTACTTGTTTAACTCTAGATAGATTTTTGTGGTGCTGGTAATTTACTCGTTAACCTTCATTCCGGATAGATAAACTCGGCTCTTGATGATACTGCCACCAATCTCAAAGCCAGGCATGACCATTAGCCCAACCTTGGGCTTCTCATTGGTTTCATCCATCATAAAATTCTTCTCTACACTTTCCATGTAAACCTCTGAGAACTCGCTCCCCCTTTTAACTTGAAAGACTTTCACATTAGGGTCGAACGAGTAGGCTAGCCTATGCAAAAGCCAAATAGATTTAGCCAATTTTAGAAAGGCTTGGTAAAATGGAGTCCTAGGATGTCCACCTCCCATTATGTAATTACGCTGATCTAGATTTCCAAAGAATGAAGCTTCCATTTTTGGATGAACGACCATCAGGTACTTGCTCTGGGAAAATTTCCCGAACAAGGAATCGGGATTCTGGCCCAGCATGTCCAATGGATCCATCTCCCTCAGAGCTAGATATTGGTGGAAGAAGCTCTCTTTGTTGAGAGCTACGTTATCTAATTTAATGGAGAAATTCTCATGTTGAAACCCACTGAACATCCTCTGGCAAATGTGGGACTCAAATGCATATTTCTTGTGAGCTCTCTTGGCATAAACAACGTTGGGCTCAATTGAGTCGGCGGCAGCATCAAGGTCCCAGCCAGCAGCTTTCATCATGTTGATTAATGGTTTAGAAAAATCATGAATGGATTTGAAAGCAGATTCAACAGCTGATGTGAAGAGCTCGGGTGTCAAATCCACAGAAAAAATCCATTTTCTTCTCCCGAGCCTTCAGATTCCTTCATAGACAAGCCCCTAAGCTTTATATTCTTTTCCAGCTTCACTCTCTTCTGGTTTGCATCTTCAATTTGCTGCTGCAACTGTCGAATCTCGGAATCCTTATTCTGAATTTCAGACTGAAATTTCTTAACCATAACCTCATAGGTTTTCAGCAGGCTCTGCTGTTCTTGG